CTTTATAGTTCAGATACTCGAGAATTTCTCAGGTGGTCAATATTTTATATGCAAATAGATTGACTTTCCTGAAATGCAAGTTTTATTGTCCAGAATTTGTGCACACGAACATGAAAATGTAACCTTTATTATGTGGAATGACAAACTGTAGCATGTCTACGTGTGCATGACCTGAGCATGTGTGTGTGCACTCAGGGTGGACATGTGCAGACACATGTGTAAAAACATTCCTGCAAAGTACTCAGATTTCTGCCACTTTCTCTGCTGCAAAAGAGAGCAAATCACTAATGAAAACAAGAATGGCATGCTGCTCTGGCAATGCAAATGAAAGAAATAGGCACATTTACCTTTCATAAAATCCTTAACACTTTGGATATAAAAGATCTCAAGTTCTAGGGCCAGCAGGTGGCATGGAGGTTAAGACCCTGGATATCACATGGCTAGCTGCATGGTTTGAGTTGAAAATCATGCCAAGTGCATGTACATGCATGCCCAAAATCCCAGGAGGAGAATGGAGGAGAATGGGCCATTTCCCTGGGGAGTGATTTCTTACTTTCTCTCTCATTCTCTCTGGCGAGCACACAAAAAAACCTAAAAACAGAAACAAAAACAAAACCTCAAATTCAACATACACAAAAAATGTTATATCAAACAGCTCAATGGAAATAATTTTCGATTAATCGTTACTTGGAAGTACTGATAATTGGATGTGTTACTATACTTGTGAAGTGCTGTCTATAAAGAACCAACATTTGGCCATTGCCTTAGCACTGCCTAAAGAAGGCGGGCACATGTTGGATGTGTAGTAATATCTGTTGAGTGATGAAACCATTTTATGTGCTTGGTAGACACTCCCTTGCAGGCCATCATGAGCTGCTGGAGTCTAAGCAGGGCCTAGCTCAAGCAAAGGCACAAAGCAGGACTGAATTTGATCCTCTGGTGTCCTCCAGCTTTTGTGATCTGAGTACCGAGCGCTAGAGGACTTGTCTTCAGAATGGTGGGTCACAAAGTGCAACCCAGTAACTCAAACCTCTGATTATAATAATATCAACAATGAATAGCCCTATCCCAAACTGTGACTGAGAAATGCTAGCTGAAGAAAAATTGAATTTCATTTTTCTTGGACAGATTTCTTTATTCAGTTTTGATTTTCTTGGACACATTTGTTAGAATTTTAAACAATCATTCAAAAGGGGAAAATTGAAATATACCTTTACCAGTGATCATATACTTTGTTTAACAGAGCATGAGACTAAATGCAGAGGAGATGCAAAATATATTTCAAAATGAGGTTTCAGTTCTAAAAGATTTTCTGCTCCACTGGTGGAGACAGAGTGAATGCACATGAAATACTGTGCTGGAAATGGCACTGTTTTTAGGTTTTTCATTTGGTTTGCTCCCTTCTTTGGTCTCGGGGCTCAGGGGGAGCAGCATTCTGCACTGGCCCATCACCTTCGCTTACTTGCTGTTGCCTACTTAGTTTCCACCGGTGAGGACCACTGGGGTAGCTCATGATGCCAATCAGTTGGCTTCTGCCTACAGGAGCTCACCTTAGAGAGGAACTGTGGCTAAGCATTTAAAAAGGCAAGCCCTGTTTTATGCAGATTAAGAAAAGGAAATGAAAAGGAATCCTTTTATAAAGGCACTGCCCTATAATTTAACAGATTAAAGGCAGTGCAATAGAAATGTTTGATGCTGAACTGTTTGAACTTGGTCTCAGTACATCTGGTTCCTGTTTGGCTTGCTATTCATTAGCTGTGTGACTGTGGGTAAATCATTTCACTTCCCTGAGACTCAGTTTCCTCATCTGTAAGTGGAGATAATTACTAACACTCACTTCAGCTTCAGGCATTGTCCCAGCAGGGACACCGAGATAGGAAAGTTAATTGATGGGTCTTCTCTCAGAGTTGTGAGTAGGGTGTCAGGAACTGAAGAGGGATCTCAGGGAACTGCAGCTCCCTGAGATCAGCAAGAATGAGATTTGTCCACCCCTAGGTCAAAGGAGAGGAAGATGTTAATATGCAATCTATGAAGTAGGGAAGGGAATGCCCAACAGGAGCTGTGACTGTTAAGTATAGAAATAGAGTTCCTTTCTGGGGCACCAGAAGATGGCGTAATGGCTATGTTGCTGGACTCCCACACAGTTGACTGTGGTTTGAGTCCCAGACCTGGTGGCTTAAACTCACACTGGGCATGTGTTCATGCCCAAGACCAAGAGAAGAATGGAGAAGAAGGGATTACAGCATGGCCATACCCTCTTGGGGGTGATTTCTCACTTTCTGTCTCTGTCTCTCTCTGTTTTTCTGGTGGGTGCACACACCCTATAGCAAAAACCTCTCCAAAAGGAAAAAAAAGAAAAAGAAAGAAATAGAGCTCCTTCCATATTATGGCCTGGTAGGAATAAAACCTGGGAGGTCAATACTTTGACCAACAGGTCTGTTGGAGCCTATTGTTCATATCTCTTCTCAGCTTCTCTTTAGTGATGTTAGTAGCTTGAAATCCACATTGGTAAGAAGTATTTACACCATGGAAATTGGTAAACACTACTGCAAATTAGTATTTTTTTTTCCTCCTGGAGAGCTGGTTGTTAACATTTACCAGCACACCACTATGTTGATCTATCTCCTTGCTTTTCCAATTCCCATTGGTACTTCCTCTCGGATAAATCCAACCATAGCCAAAGGATAAGAGATTAGGGAATTGTCTTTATAGGTCGGATTCCAGGATGCAGAACAGAGTGAAAATGAATGGAGAATGAATGGTGGTGGTGGTGGTGGTGATAGGATACATAGAAAAGGAAAATAATCATCACATCTCTTAGAGTTGTTGTGAAAGTTATAAAAATGAACATAAAAGTACTTAATAAAGATTAGAGTGTTTTTCATGTGTGTCATTCTTTATCTTTACAAAGTAATGTTTACAAAGTATTTCTAGAGTCCCATGTAACCTCAACATGGAGCAGTAGCTGGCATGTTCTGTCCTCTTCTGTCAATTTATGCTAAAGGGAGCAAAGTTAGGCTTATCCTCATTAGCATTCAGGGAAATTCAGGTTTAGATGAGGAAGCACTCATCAGGGTGGGCTCCTGGCTATGCTGCCAGAGGTGCAACAATTCTCTTGCAACTGTGATACCAAAAGTCTGGTGGCAAGGAGAGAGAAGGAGAAGGTGGTAGCAGCCTACTTTTTGACATTAGGGAGCTCTAGGCAGGAAATCCTGTTATGTGAGTAATAAAGCCTCTCTGGGTCTCTGCTACCAATTGACAAAACCAGATGCACAAAGATACAGTGCATCTTCAACTTCACCAGTTATTGCTGACTGCTCTTCAAAGTAGTGATATCAGTGTACACACCTAGCAGCAGCACAAAAGAGTCCTGTTGTTTTGCAACCTTGCCAACACTTGGTATATTGATTATAATCAAATTTGGCCAGGACAGGAAACCAAAAATAACAGGGGCTGAAAGACCATAGGCATTCATTCAAGTCCAGAGGTAGGTAGTCCAGGCTCAGTGTTGCAGCTCTGCTATACAGGGTCCTCAGAGATGGCACTCTCTCCTGCCTGGTTCCACTTTGCCAGCCCCAGGGGTAGGTGGCATCTGCAGCTGAGGCAGCAAAGTGGAGGGAGGGAAGAAGCAAGGAGAGGGCACGACCCAGTGCATTATACTGGACCAATCCCAAGTCCCTTCTCTCTCATGAGCAGAACTTCAGCCACATGACCAAACTTCGCTGTGAAGGGAGTTGAAAATTAGGCTCTGGGCTGGTGGGATCATTGCCCAGAGAAATGTTCTATTACCATGGACGAGACAGAGAATAATATCAAATGTCAACCCAAAGGCTGCACCTCTGGCAGCATAGCCAGGAGCCTACCTCTGGATCATCAGTGCTGGTAGAGAATGAGTTCCTCTAGTACTACCATGGCAACTCTGGTTAGCATACCAGGGAGACAACTGGAGGAGCTAGGGATGAGGATGTGAATTTTTAGCAAAAGAGAAAATTGGTCAGATTCTCTCATAGATGTTACTCTTATTTTCACATGACATAACCAAGAGAATTGGCAAGATTTGGCATTTTAAAAAAGAGAGAGAAAAAAAGGAGAAAGCACATTTACTAAGTAGAAGTGAGGAAGGAATTTGTCTCCAGGCCCAAAGAGAAAGGCCAGGTTTCAGGAGCAGCCTTTGGCCTCCCTAAGGCCAGATGGTCCTTGGAAATGTGCATGAGCTTTGGAGTTGTCTCATGACATAGGCTTGACTGCTCCAGCCATTGGCTGTGTGACCCTCATTCCTCATTCGTAAGTGTCAAAGGTTGTCATGGAGAATGAATAAAAACATATGGGACAGCCATAGTGGTACAGTGGGTAGGGCACTAGAGCCACATGGGGGGCCATGTTGACTTCAACATAGTGGGCATACCCTGTGATTCTAGTTAGCAAGGGGGAAGGATTTTGGCATAGTGAGACCCTGTCAAGGGTACTTCTTTCTTTCTCTTGAAGAAATGAACTTAAAACAAAAATGATATGGAAGTGTTTAGTTTAATATAGTTTCTGGCGTATAATTATTCATGAATGTCACTTCCTTGTGGCCATGCAGTTGAGAGCACCTATGAATGAGTTTCACAGTTGGGTCTGAGTTGGGGCACAGAAGCAACTATGGGAGGAGAGGATAGAGGGATTGCGTCCTGGGCACAACAGTGTTACTGATGTGGACAAGGTCATTCCTTAGGCTAGGACTCTTATTTGTTTGAAAACTAGGGCAGATTATTACCATGGAGATATCCAACTCAAATATTGGTTTGAGAATGTAGAGGGTACAAAAAGTTTATTATTATCCCATGATTTTCTCACCTGCTTGAACTGTTCTTGGAGCTTCTTCATCTGGGACCTGGTCACTGTCTGCTTTACACTTTGGGGAGCTACAGCTACAAGGAATCAGTGGTAAGAATTCCCAATGAAGATTCTCCATCCATTGTGATGAATAAGCTCCATTCCACGACAACAGTGAGCACCTGCACTCCCTAACTTCCCCTTTCAGTAGAGGCTGATCAGAAACGAGGAGTAAGAGTAGCTTCCTAGATGTGTAGAGCTAACGAGGCCATGAAGAGGTGAGGGAATCAACATCAGCCACCTTCAACTTCCTGAAGAGAATGGCCAAAGGGAGACGCTTCAACCCACCTTTAGACAAAGATGGAAAATGGGTAAGAAAGATAGTGCCATCTAGTATCTTTTTTATGCCACATAGGTGTGATCAAGGACCCAGAACTGAGTTCATATCCTGCTTTTGCTACTTACTATAGTATGCCTTTTGACAAATCACTGCATTCAGCCTCAATGCCTTCATTTGTGTTGCTTGCTCTACATTTTCATTTTCTATAAAATCTATCTTCTAGAAATATATCTTCTATATATCTTCTAGTGTATATATATATATAATATTATGTTCATTATTTGTCCCCCCTTCACTAAAATATAAGCTCCAGAAAGAATGTGATACTTGTCTTTTACATTTACTAATGTGTCCCCAGTGCCTGAAATAGGATATGTTGCATTGAAGGCACTCTACAAATACTCGTTGAAGAATTAATATTATACTAGAAACACTTAAACAAATTGCTGTCATCACGTGATCTGATTCCCTTCATCCCATCAGACTATGAATAGGAAGAGTCCAGGAATGCACGCTGACCCATCTCAGTCATTTGCTAACTTTCCCTTTCCAGCCTCATGTTCTTCCCGAGACTTGTTTTTTGTGGTATCACTTACAAAGCCCAGTGGGATTTATCACTCTTCTGCCATCTTCAAGAAACATTTGAGTCACTCCTAAATGGGAGGTCTTAGCCTTGTTGCCCTGAGCACTTTTCTTGTTGGCTCTTCCATGTGTATATCTCATGCACTGACAGATCTTTTCCATTTCTAATTTCTACAGTTTATTCACAGAAGGAATGTTAAGGGGGAATCACAGCCATCCACTGCTGCCCGCATCTTCAGCCATTCATGATGAGAGAGGATGAAAGAAAAACCTGGGATTACCCTCTTTTAGGGCAGCAGTTTGCAGAAAACTATTGGCATGTTAATGTTTCAAAAGAAATTGGAGAAGAAGAAAAGACCTTAGCAAATTTGGGTCTGAAGCTCTAGAAGTGTGGACAGAAGTGTGACTAACTTAGTCTTTCTAAATCTCAGTTTCTTTAACTAAGTGGGAGCATATTCTACCAAGGTTAGAGGGCTGTTGTAGGGATTAATGAGATAATTCATCCCAAAGTGCTCAGTATAATGCAGAGCCACATAACCAGCATTCAATGCTTGCCAACTCTAATATACATGTTTATATGTATATAAATGTTATCTCTATAAATATGTACATATGTTTTATATATGTGTGTGTATATAAATATGTATATACATAAGACATTTTATACACACACACACACACATACACACAAAATATCTACCCTACTTCATTCCAGAGAGATTTAAAGGAATGCGTAAAAAATATGTTTTAAAATAAAAGCCTGAGACTGTCAGGAAAATATATAACATAGATACGTAGGCTATAATAACCTATATGGTAGATATTTGGGTATGAAATTTGACTCTGAGTCCCCTGGCAGCCAAAGTAAAGTGGGAAATAATGTCAACTACATAATGTAGATAGCCCATGAAGACAAAAACATGTTTCTTAGACTAAGTAATTTCCCCTCTATAACCTACATACTAGTTAGAATTGTGTTTGACTAAATATAAAAAGTTGGAAACAGTGTCTTAATAAGGTTTAATATTTTTCAATAACAATAAAATATAGAAGTAGTGAGTCCAAGGCTATCTAGCTTCTTAAGGGAGATGAGGCTTAAGGTTTTTCAGCCTTCTATTCTATTGTCCTTACTAAAGGGGTAGTCTATCTCTAGGCAGTTAAGTCCATAACCCAGGTAGGAAAATAAAGGCAAGCCATCTCTGCAGTGCAGCAGTTAGACACTACATAGAGGAAGCTATATCCCAAAGGTTCTACCAGGATGTAAGTTCTGACTCCAGTAGCTTGAGAAACACAACAGGCATGTGCACATACCCAGGATAAAGGATTGTGGTGTGACCAGGCCCCATGGGGGGAGGAGTGCCTTCTCCTCTCTCCCTCTATCTCTTATGCATGAGCATGTACCCTCTGGCATTAGAAATAAACGGGGCGGGGGCGGGCAGCAAATGGCATAGCGGTTACATTGATGGACTCCCACATGGTGGACTGTGGTTTGAGTCCTAGACTTGGTGGCTTCAAACTCATGCTGGATGCTTGTATATGTGTACCCAAGATCCTAGGAGGAGAACAGAGGAGAAGGGATTGCAGCATGGCCATCCCCCTTGAGGGGTGATTACTTGCTTTCTGTCTCTCTCACAAGTGCTTGTACCTTATAGCAAAAATCTCTCCAAAATAAACAAATAAACAAACAAACAGAAAATAAAAAGGGGGAAGATCAAAAGGGCCAAAAGACACCTGTCAGCTAAGTCTGCTCCTTTTTATCAAGAAAGCAATAGCTTTCTCAGGAGCCCTGTCCCACAGACTTCTGCTTCTGTCTCATTGGATCAGGTGGCCAATTTAGCTGCAAAGGAGTCTGGAGAGGTATTTTTAAATCAACCACTTTGCCACTGCAAATCAGGTCCTGTTATAAGGGAGAATGCAAGAATTAGCATTTCATAGGTAGAAATTTCATTTCCTCCTTCTATCAAGAGCCCAGGGATATAGCCTACTCCCTGGGTTTTAGGTAGAAAGGCAATGTCTCCTAAGTTTGGCTTAAGACTGGCATGAATCCTTTCTTCCGTCAGCACCTATGAGCATAAAAAGAATAGTGCTGATCATGAAGTTTCCCAAAGTAACTTGTAGATGAGTTGGGAAAATTAAAGAAATTGTTGGCTTTGAGTCAGCAGCAGCCATTTGGGAAGACAGTAATTGCCACATTAGAGGTGACAGTCATTTTGCAGTTGACCTTGCTGGTTGTAATCTGCCCGTTGCTGGGTAGGAAAAGCTTTTTCCATACACTTTCACCTTCCTATTTAATATTTCAGTCATTGAGTGATTGAATGCAGCAAAAATTTCACCGCCAACTAGTTAAAAAGCTATATTTCACGGTTACAATATCTAACAGAAGGGTTTATTTCACAGCTATCATGTTATAGCCATTAAATATATATTTTAAAAGAGTGAAATTAAAATGCTAGAGTCATTTTTTTTTACAGCGATTTAGTCCATAGACTTGCTGAATACAAATGAACTCAAGTCAGTTGTCATTTAGCTGGTGAGAGCAATCATTCCTGAGGTTAGGACAACCCCTCCCCACTCTACCTTCAGCCTGACTTTTTCCCCTACAGCTCCCCAGAGAGGAGCGTTGACTCAGTTGAGCTGGAGGAAGGGTGAAGAGAACAGGCTATGAGCCATGAGCCTGAAGACCCTTTGTGTTATTTATAATTATCTCTTAAATATAATAGGAAGCATTTTAAAAATAAAATACAGAATGAATTAGAAATATACAGGTTGACTCTATATTTCTAGGATATATTGTTAAGTGAGAAAAGCAAGGTACAGAGCAGTATGTATAATATGGTCCAAATTTGTAAATCTATTTACATGCATGGATGTGTGTATATGATTATAGGTGAGCTCACTTGTTAATATTGCATATATAAGTGTCTCTATGATGTAGGCAAGGTCACTAATTAATATTGTTATCTAGGGTGGCAGAAGGGAGGGAAAAAGCAACCAAAAGTTATTGTTTAATAAAGAGATATTCTGTGGATGGACATGGCATAGCAGTTAAAACACAATGCTTGGGCCAGCTCAATGGCCTAACAGTTAAGGGAGTCAGATCCCACTGACAATATAGTTCAAATCCCAGCCCCAGAGGCTTGAAAAAGCACACCAGGCACATGTGTGTGCACACCCCAGATCCCAACAGAATGAAGAAGGGATTGCTGCATAACCATGCCCCATTGTAGGTATTTTTTCCATTTCCTTCTCCTTCTTGTCTCCCTCTCTCTGTTTCTCTCTCGTGAGCACATATACCCTCTGGCAAAACAAATATACAAAAAACCTAACACTCTGAAGCCTGACTGAAATGGGAGTTTCTGGATTTGTGTTTGGAGACCTCCCTGAGTACACCAGGTGCATGAATGTCCATGATTTAGGACTGGCTGAAGCTAGGAGATGGGTCATGGTATCAAGCCCGTGTTGAGGGTGATGTCTCATTGTCTCTTTCAGTCATGGAAGAAAAAAATGAATAAATTTGAAAAGTATTCAGAAATTTTAGAAATTACATTTATAATATGATCCCATATTATAGTCATACACACACTCATATACACACATACACACTCATATACATTTGTAGAAGAATATATAAAAAGAATGGTCATACAGGGTTAAGAGTAAAGGGTGATAAGATTTCAGGGAAGTTTTACTTCCTTATGTTTTTTTATTGCTTGAGTTGTTTTTTTATTTTAGGTTTTTGCAGTAGGGTGTGTGTGCCTACCAGAGAAAGACAGAGAAAGGGAAAGTGAGAAATCAACCCCTAAGGGGGATAGCCACGCTGCAATTCCATCTCCTCCATTCTCTTCTTGAGATTTTGGGTACACACACACACATGCCCAGTATGATTTTTTTAAGCCACCAGGTTCATTATTTGAATGGTAGGAGTCCAGCACCTTAACCACCACACCAGCTGCTGGCCCCTTGGTTGAGTTTATAAGAATCAGGAGTATAAGAATCAGCACTACAACTGTAATCAGAAAAAAATATGTTGCTTTTTGTTGTCAAAACCCCCTCAAAAACTATATGTAACATACACACCAAGATAAAAGACATTTAAAAGGTACCAAATGATACTGGCAATAAAGTCTTCCTCCTTCCTGGATCCCCATCCTGAGAGGGGACCCTGTGGCCAGCTTCCTGCATAGCCTTCAAACAGTCTAGGCATATAAAGGCACGTTGGTTTGTGTGGTTGTGTCATTGCCCTTGGTCCTCATTTCTGCTCTCCTCTACCCATAGGCAGCCATTCAGATGTATTTAATGGGAATTCTTCTATTTGGATGTGTTCTTGTAAATTAGTGCCTGCGTTACTTATTCATATACATAGTGTCGGGTTATAGATCTCCTTCTCTTTATTCCATTCAGCGCTGTATTTAAAAGCTCTCTCCATTGTGTCATCTAGTTACTGCTTCTCACTGTCACAGAGAATGTCCCACCAAGTATATGACAATCCTTTCACCTTTTTACATAAAGAGCACCCTACTAAACACACTCTTCTGCAGACATTCATCAAAAGCCATATGAATATATAGTTATATTATGACTTCAGGAAGAACGGAGAGAGAATTGACAGTGTTAACCTATGTCATCATACTCCAAAAGAGGAGGATGAAGGACTGGCTTAAGGCAATGGCAGTGGGTTTAGGGATGAGAAAGGGGACAATTGTAAGCAAAACTAGAATTTGCTAGCAGTTGCGAGCATAATCTGGGTGCATGCATTTTCTCTTTTCATCAAATCTACCCTATTAGGTAGGTATTATAATTCTTATGTTATAGATGAGAAAACTGAGGCTTGGAAAACTTAGACCTTGCAAAAGTTTCACCTTGTAGGAGAGAGAGCTGAAATTGGACTCAAGACCTTTGAATCTATAGCTTATGGTACAACCCTCATATTAGACTTTCTCCTCCTTTGTCGGAATTTTCAGTAAGAGTCTAGTCTTATCTTGTGCCTATTTTAGTTTCTGCTCATTTTCTTCTCCTGGAGACCTTACATCAAAGCTTGCTTTGTCAGGGTAGTTTTTAAAAACTGCCATTTAAATAAAATTGAGTAAGCTACTATGGTTCAAGTGACACCCACCTCACGTATGTACAGAAGCACTCATAGCTCCAGGACCTGAGAGCATGGCCCTCACTGCACGGTTCTAGGGATCTGTTGACTAAAGACGGCTACTTCCCCAAGGCACCCCCTCTTCCTGGGACAGCCTAGGAATCAATTCAATGATTAATTGAATGGGACTCAGAAGGGCCATGTTCTCTTGCCCGCCTCTGAGGGGCGATGCTATGTCCTGCAAATAATCTTCATCATCCTACTCTTTTTGCTTTGTACCTTCTAATCTCTCTTTTGTCCTCTTACTCCTTTTCTATGCTCTATCATCCTACAGTCTCAGTGCAGAGTCAGCTGAGACCCTCACTTCTCATCTTCCCTTTGTCTTAGGGCCTACCTCAGACCTACATTGCTGGATGGTGGTTCAGCCCTGTGAACATGGGGTGGAAGCTTGGCCCCAAGTACCAGAAACTTCCTCACCAGACAGAGATTTCAATATGTCTCCTCAGAATACATCTGCTCACTCTCTAAGGGCCACACCCTCCTTACCAGGTCATGGAAACATTTGCAGGCTCCAGCACAGCGGGGTGGCCCCTGTAACTTGAAACAACCAGCTGCGATGGCTCTGGGCCACTACAGTGTTTGTTGTCTTGGAAAGAATACTTGAAAATTATAAAAATTATGCCATTTCTATTGTATGCCAGAAGCACCCAAATTGCATGCTAATCACTTTACAGAGGAAATCCTGATACTTGGCTTATAGATTCAGATGTGTCTGGTTTTAATCAAGGCGTGTGCTGTTTTTCCAGTTCCCTCACATCGGACTGACATCAAAGACACCAGAATCCATCACATGTGCTATGTTAAAAGAGTCCCATAGTCCTTGTTTATCTCAGCAAATAGAGAGGAAGCTACCACCAATATACAAAGTCCGGGAGAAGGTGAGTCTGAAGCGCTGGCAACAGGTGCATACTTCTGTGGAACTCTGAAGGGGTGGCACTGTTGGCATTTTTGGCCAGATAATTCTTCTTAGTAAAGAACTGGTCATTTGCCATTCCTGGGCTCCTAAAGGCTGGTAGCATCCCTATTTCATACCCTGGTCATTGTGACAACCTCGAATACTCTCCAGAAGAAGCACCCCTGCTCTAGAAAATCAAGTTAGACTCATCTTCAGACAAGAAACAATACCTTTGGTTGCAACTCACATTCATTAACATGCATGTTTGTCTCCCTGGCCAATTTTTGAGTGACTTCAGGGGCTGAGGTGGTATGCGAGAGCAGGCGTTGACCTCACGCCCACCAAACTTACCTGTGATCTTGGGCCAGGGCTCTGGTCTTTTGAGTTCCTTGTTGGTCAGGTGAAGATGTTGGCCTCAAGAGTTCTTTCCAGCTTTTGGTTCTATGAGCTTCTATACTTCTCCATCCTCACCTCCACATAAGGTGTTTTGAAAGAGAATCTTTATGATTTTCAACAAGTTGGCAACAACGTTGAATTTCAGTACTCTGAGCTGACATGCATATCTTATCCTTCAGTACTGGGCTGTGTGCTCCATCTCTGGTAATGGGTGCAAACTGTCTTACTTAGAAGTCACTTTGCCTCATCCTTCTTCCATCCACATTCCAATATCCTGTTCTGAGAATACCCTGGATTCTGACATGAACCTTTTCATCTCTCCCCTCACTCTTTTCCAGCAAGCGGTAAATAACAATTTTCCCTTCTCCATGCATGACAATCGACACAGTTTTGAGAACTCTGGATACTACCTTGACTCTGTGAGTATTTCTCTTTAAATTACTAAGAAATGGAGAGCCGAACTCTGATCTTTGTAGGCATGTTGAAGATAGAGAACTAACCGCAAGATTGGAATGAGGGCAAAATAAAGCAAGACTCATAACAGGTGACAAAAAAAAATGCTTAAAGCTCTGGGAGTTGGATGAAGCGATCCAAGTTTGCTCTACACTTTTGCCTAGGTTTTGTGTCCGTGCTTCCCAAAGTGCCTTCCCATAAACGGTCTCTTTTGTGAACTTTCTTGTAAAGATCTGTCATGGGAACAAGGGGTTGACTACGTGTGTCTCTGGGCTGCAGAGTAAGGGCCCACAAGGAGAAGGTCAGCAGGATGGGTAGCTTTATCATGTAATGAAGGACTTCCCAGGATCTGGACTTGCCTTTTCTCTACAAGTGGTAAATTCGCCTTCACAGGACAATAGTCTGACAGCATCAGTTAGTGGGGGTTGTTAAAGAATACCGAAAAAGCTCTGTGCTCCTGCTTGGTTTCCATCAACGAGCTATGGCCTCATTTAGATAAGGCTCCTTTTTAGTTTGGCTGCTAACTTGTGGCCAGTCACAGCTTCTAGGCTTCAGTCAATCACAGCAGCTAGGTTTCAGTTAATCACAGGCATCCCGCCTTTCAAACTGTGTTAAGACAAGCTTCAGAATGTAACCAACCCAGTTGATTGTCTACCTCATTCCTTCATTTTTGATTTTGTAAGTCACTTTCCTATTCTTGCACACCTCATGTTCCTTTCTGGGAACTTAAATAGAGTGTGACCACAAGGCTACCCAGAGTTGTTCAGAAGTCGGTCTGGGAAACTTCCTGATTTGAATCATTTTAAGATTTGCTCAGTTAAACTCCACTAAATTAAATAGTTTGTATGGTTAACACAATACTGTGTGAAAGAAATATATATATATATATAGCAAAAATTTCTCTTAAAAAAACAAAACAAAAACCAAGAAATATAGAGCAAGCTGTAGGTGTAATTTAAAGTTTTCCAGTAGCCACATTCAGTAAAAAGAAACAGATAAAAATTAACTTTCATAATACATTTTATTTAAACAATGATTCCTCAAATTACCAATTCAATGTGTGATCAATATTTTAAAAATTATTGGGACCAGTAGGTGGCATAATGGTTATGTCACTGGACTTGCACGTAGTTGACTGCAAGGTTGAAATTCATGCCAGGCACAGGTGTGTGCATGCCCAAGATCTTGGGAGGAGAGTGGAGGAGAAGGAATTGCAGCATGGCATTCCCCCCGGTGGGTGATTTCTTGCTTCCTGTCTCTCTCTGGCAAGTGCACACGCCCTATAAGCAAAAATATCTAAAAAAAATTATTAATGAAATTGTTTTTACATTTTGTTCTCTTTTTTTGAAAGAATTATTTTATTTAACACTTATATATTTACGTAGACCAGAGAAGGACAGAATGAGAGAGAGAAAGTGAGAAAGCAAGCCGCCAGGTCTGAGACTCAAACCATGGTTGACTATATGGGAGTCCAGCGCCCTTAACCACCACACCACCTGCCAGCCCCTGCATTTCTTTCTTTTTTAAGTTTGTTAATTAATTTATTTATTTTAATTTTACTAGAGAGGGACAGAGCAAGAGAGAGAGAGAAAGAGAAAATGAGAAAGGAAGCTGCCAGGTCCAGGACTCAAACCATGGTCAGCAATGTGGGAGTCCAGCGCCCTTAACCATCATGCCACCTACTGGCCCCTACATATCTTTTTCTAAACTAAATTTTTAAAATCCCCTTTTGGGATCATCAGGTGGCATGATGATTAAGGTGATGGATTCCCCATGGCCCACTCTGTAATTTGAGTCTTGAATCCAGCAACTTGAAAAACACACCAGACACATGTGTGTGCATGTCCAAAATCCCAAGAGGAGAATGCTGGAGAAGGGACCACAGTGTGGCCATTTCCTAAGGGGTGATTTCTTAGTTTCCTTCTCTCTGTCTCTCTCTGGCAAGTGCGCATGCCCTATGGCAAAAATCTATTTAAAAATAGTTTGTATTTTACACTTTGAGTACATTTTGGCCAACGCACATTTCCTGTACTCAATAGATAGATGTAACACTGCCTACCAGGCTGGACGACCCAGGGTTAACATGGCACATCTTAAGTAGAAGGTGTAGTAAGTGACCTCTGAGACTGCTTACTGAATCTGAAAGTCCACAATGGTGATGATGACAACGATGATGAGGATAATGCCCATCATTTATTAAGCATTTGCTATACACTAGCATCTCATATTATCTTGTCCAATCATTATGACAATCCCACAGGCTAATTACTTTCATCATCTTCAATTTAGAGACGAGGACCAATTTCGAGAGCCAGTAAAGTTAAACAATTTGCCCAAAGTTACCATTTCCTCTAGGCTACAACATCTTAACTAAATCAAGAAGCTTAACCTAAAAAATCTGGTGGCTTCTGGCAAAGTGTTGAATACAGAATAATAATATCCACTCTGCCTGGCTCTTTAAATGGAATGTTAAATAAGTAACCACAGTAATATAAGTCTTTTTTTTAAAAAAATCAAATAATACAGAATTATATAAAATTAAAAACACACTTTGCATCCTTATTTTCCCTCTTCACAATCTCACCTTGATGATTTGCTGCTAAAAATGACTGGGTGGATAAAATTGAATAGTGTTTGCAATTCACATACACACAAACGTAGACACATAAATGTATATCTTATTAACGATACAAACAGAATTGTACCACATGTATTTTACCAGTGTTATGATAGTTTCGTAGAAGGCATTGGAAGCTTTCCAACTTTCTCTGGGTTCTGGAATGGTTCATGCAATGTTTAAATTTTGGGTTTAATGAAGGTTAGATAGAACTTGCCCATGAAATGTCTCAGGTTTGATATCGTTAGAGTAAGATTTTTTCCTACCATTTTCATTTTTCCCTTGATTATTAATCAATTTAAGCTTTCTACCTGTTCTCAGGTAGATTTTACGAATATGTGTTTGCCTAAAATTGATCTAATTCGTTTCAAATTTAGTAGTGTAATATCTCTTATAATACTTTTATTTTATTGTTCTTTTAATTTTTTTTAGGTCGAATGCTTAGTTCATGTATTTGCATTAGTTTTTGTTAATAAATTCATTAAAACTATGAATATTCGTCAGACTATTGCTTTGGCTATATTCCAAAGGTTTTCTAATTAAGGCCTCATTATTTGCTTCTAAATAGACCATGATTTAATTTTAAATCTCCCTTTAACTAAAAATATTAGAAGAATGTTTTAAATTTTTATGTGGTTAGGCTTCTTAAAGGTCATCTATTTGTTGCTAATACCTAGTTTTGTGGGTTATAACTTACTAGTTTTATAAGGCATGATCTGTGATTTCTACTTTTTGAATTAAAGAAATTATCTTTGTTATCTTGCACATGATGTATTTTAACAAGTGTTTCATGGGTGTTTAAAAAAGAATATATACTCCCTCTGTTGGCTACAAAGTTCTTTATTAACTCAGAATTGTTCATTATATTATTAAAATATTTTATATCCTTTTTTATTTACTTTTTTTATAGGACACATGTTCTTGCCAAAGAGAGACAGAGACAGAGAGAAGAAAATGAGAAGTCACCCTCCAACCCCCAAGAGATGGCCATACCACAATCCCTTCTCATTCATTCTCCTCTGGAGATTTTAGGCATGCACACACATGCACTTGGCATGATTTTCAAGTCATCAGGTCCAGGACTCAAACTTTGCAATTGGCCATGTGGGTTCCAACACCTTAATTAATCTTTGTGTCAACTGCTGGCCCTATATTCTTCTTTAAAGTTTTGTTTTGATCTCTCAGTTTCTGTTTCTCAGATCAGTCTTGAATTTCTAAAGTTTTTTTTTTTTGTCTTATATCACTTAATACTGTATCTTTTTGAATAAATATTCATGATTGTTTTATTTTCTTGGTGGTTTTTGCCATTTATCAATATGAAATGTCTCTTTGCATGCTTTAAAGGTTTACCATGAATTCTACACTGTAATGTTAACACGGACTCTATTGCTTTCTTTTTGCTAATGTTTGTTCTTTATCTTATGGTCCATTTCTCTGTCTTAATAATTTTTAGTCATTTTTTCTTTGAGTTTGTCTTCTTTTATAAATAGTCTACAGTATGATTTTTAAAAAGGCAATAGTCATTGTTTCTTCATATGAGAATTTAACACATTCACATTACTATGACAATTTACATTTTGGGTTTTATTTCTGTCATCTCATTTTATGTTTCCTATTTATCATGTTTACATTTTTTTTTTCTTTTCACTTTCCTGACTTTGCTATTAGTAGATTGGTTGAATTTATTTGCTCACTCTGAATTCTATTCATATTCCCCTAGTAGTTACCCTCAAGTACAAACATTCAGAAATATACTAACACTATATTACTCTATAAAAATTAGTATCTATAACTTTTCTCAGCAAAAAAGGCAAGTCTACCAGAGTACATGGCTTCCTGCACTTCCTTTCCTTGGGCTGTTGTGTTGGTAAGCCCGGTCATGTTCTTTCAGCTTCTGGAGGGGACTAAGAGAGGGAGGCGTTCCAGGACTTCCACTTGTTCAAACAGTGGCTCCTGCTTCCCTGGCCAGGTTGAACTTCTGCAATTTCAGTTCCAAATTATTTCCTTCTTTCTTCCTTCTTCCACTTCCTTCACCTCTCCTTCCTTCCCTCCTTTCCTCCTTTTTAGTGAATTTTTACTTAAAGTTTCATATATTTAATAATCATATCATAACCAAGTATTAAGACTTAATTATGAGGCCAATGGCATAGCCTAATAGTTAAGGGAGCAATTTAAAAACTCAGTAGTTTGGGACCAGCAGATGGCATAATAGTTATGTCACTAGACTCCCATGTAGTCGACTAAGGTTTGAGTCCTATACCTGGCAGCTTAAAACTCATGCCAGGTGTGTGTGCATGTGTGCCTAAAATCCTGAGAGGAGAATGGAAGAGAAGGAATTGTGGCGTGGCCATCCTCCCTGGGGGGTGGGGTGGGGGGGACAGTGATTTCTTGCTTTCTGTTTCTCTGTCTCTCTGGCAAACACACCCACTCTATAGCAAAACTCCCCTCCCCCAAACAAAACAAAACCAACTCAGTAGTTTGAAAAACATGCTGAATGTTCATACATGGGTGTGCCCCAAATCCCAATATGATGGAGAAATGGAGAGGGGGTTGCAGTGCGGCCATGCCCCATTGAGGTTGCTTTCTCTCTCTCTCTGGGAAGTCCTTTTGCTTCCTGGCAATGAAAAAAAGAAGAATTATATTTCATTTGCTACTTGCCTTGCAGCTCTTCCTGCTGTTTTTTGGTCTCTTTCTTTCATTATTTTGTCCTTTTGCTCCAGTGTCCTCAAGTATTTTCTAGAAGTGTGCCCAGCATCTTTATTCTCCCCCTGGAGCTACTCTCCCTCTTCTGGGGGCTGATCTGTGTGGACCACCTTCCTCCCTATAGCCCCTTGGGGTTTTCCTACTTGCTACCCACATGGATACAGTAGTCCCTTCATGAAACTCACCTCAGGTTACCCTAAATTGAGTGTACCACTGGTGTTCTGCTGTGAACCTGACTGGTACTCACCCTGAGGAACAGACAATCTCACTGAATGATGTGTGTAATCTAATGCCCGTTCCAGTTCATTCTTTGGTGTCAGCCCAGTTCTCACCTAGGTGCAGTTAAAGCGAATGTACAACTTTGAATACGCAGCAGCTCTCGCGTTCACATAGAAGGTGTTGAGAGTTAACCAGGAAGCTTGTGGGCAGAGACCCAAAGGCCCTGCTTCCTTCAGAACCTCGGGGTTGGGATTCAGCCTCTTTAGATTTTTCAGAGAAAGAGCCATATGTCCCACTGAGTGCTGGGGAGGCATCCAGGGATGAGTCTGCTGAAGAGCCATCTGGGTGCAGAGAGCCTAGCTGGGATCCCTGGGAGTCCAGGCCATTTGATAGGCTGTTTCTGGCTAGGCTGTCTCAAAGTCCAGACCCCTTGGTAAGACTGCAGGCTGTGAGAACAGTGACACAATACCAAGAGAATATTGCATGTGTCGATTGACAGCTTTCAACAGGTTAGCAAAGGAGACAGTTGTCACATGGTGTATTTAAATACATATATGGGGGCTTCAAAAAGTTTGTGGAAAATGTGTATTACAAACAAAAACTGTATGGATTTCACATGTTATTGTACTAAAATTAACTTGTATTTTAATTCCATTTTCTCACTAACCTCTTGAAGTACCTTTGTACATGTCATGCAAGTTTTTGTTGTTGTTGTTGTTGTTGTTGTTTGAGAGGTTTTTGGTACAGGGCACGTACGCTTGCCAGAGAGACAGAGAGAGACAGAGAGACAGAAAGGCAAGAAATCACCCCCCAGGGGGGCTGGCCATGCCGTATTCCCTTCTCCTCCATTCTCCTCTTAGGATCTTGGGCACGCATGCACACACGTGCCTGGCCTGAGTTTTAAGCCACCGGGTCCAGGACTTCAACCGCAGTCGATTACATGGGAGTTCAGCGACATAGCCGTTACACAAAAAGCTGGTCCCATGCAATTGGTTTTAATAAAGACTTCAGCATGTGGCATGGTGATTAAGGCACAGGACTTCCACATGGCCAATCACGGTTCAAGTCCTGGCCCTGGAAGCTTAAAAATCACTCCAGACATGTGTGCATGTGTGTCCAAAATCCCAGGAGGAGAATGGAGAAGAGATTGCAGCATTGCTCTCCTCCAGGGGAGTGATTTCTTATTTTCCCTCTCTCTGTTTCTCTCTTTCTCCAGTGTGCACACACACCCTATCACCTAAAAAAACGAAAAATAAGTGAACAAATAATAAAGACCTCAGAATTATGTGACCTTGACTGTTTCCCTTTTGACTTTCTATTGTCCTTCTTTCCCAGGGCCTGGGGCGTAAGAAGATCTCCCCAGACAAAAGACAACACATTTCTAGAAATTTCAATCTTTGGGCATGTGACTATGTTCCATCTTGTCTTGATGGCTTTTCCAATAACCAAATCTCATATGTCTATAAGGAAGCCATGGTGGCCCCAAATTTCAGACGCTTTCCAAGATGTTATAATGAGATACAAAACACTTTTAAAATTGTTCCTGAGCAATGCTGTACAGAGTTTTTGAAAAAGAAGCCAAAAGTAAGGTTTGCTATCACCAAAAAGACTGTTTATCTACCGAAACTCTAATCCTCCCAGACGATTCTTGATGAAGTTTGTAATACTGGTATTTCATCAGACATCCTAAAAGTATATGTTTTCTGATCCAGAGCTACCATTTAATCTTTAAAATACTTTCAGGATTTTTAATAAGCATTCAAATCCTTGTAAAACAAAGATATGTGAAGATAAAGACATGTGTAAATAAATTTCCAAGATAACCACATTTACTTTTGGAGGAGTCTTAAAAACGACATCATTATGATCTATTACATTTTCATTTTGCAATTTTAAACACTACAGAAGAAGCAAGTCCCCTCCACCCACCCTGATTTTACCACGCCTCCAGTTCTTGTCTTGTCTTCAGAAGTAAGTTGACCATTTGTTTTTATTCTATATATTTACAGTCATACACATGTGCATAAATACATAGAATTTGGAACACATGCTATGTCCCACAGTATATAGCTATAACGTTCTTTTGCTATTTAATAATGTATCTTGCCGTTTTCGCAGTGTCAATAGGAATAGACTGATTTTTAAAAACTGTTACACTATATTCTCAAATATGTGTACACCGTGTTTTTAAAAATTATTTTCTTGTTGATGGGCATTGTAATTGTTTCTATTTTTGGCTGTCAGACAGAATGCTACATGAATATATGCTTGACCAACTTCTTCCGTACATGTTTACATGCATCTCTGGACTAGACTCTTGTTAGTGTTCCATCGGGTTGTTAGGCACAGTTCACGTATTAACAGATACTGCCAGATTGCCTTTGACAAACACTGGGCCAATTAATTTCTGCCAACAGTATCTGTGAGTTTCTGTTTCTGTGTCTCCCCTCTCTCACATTATCTTTTAGATATTTAAGGACAAAGAATTATCTTTTATTTTCTTATTTTGTATTTCTCTAGTATTTAAAGAAATCTTTTCCCAAGAGGCAGCCATTTATATTTTCCTTCTATTAACTGAAAACTGTCATCATCATTCTATACCAAAATTTTCTTGTTTATCCTTAGATATTTTTCCTAAACATGAATTTTAGAATAGGCTTGTCAAGAAAAAAAAAATCCACTGGAATTTGATAGAAATTTCTCCAAATTAACATGTTAATTTATGGGGAAATTGACATGTTTAGACTGTCATGTATCTCACCATTAAATAAATGGAATTTTATTATTTTGTGTTTTTCAGTAGAGTTTATAATTTTTCTCACATAGTTCTGACAGTTTTTTTTCCATGTTATTCTTGCATATTTTGGAAATTTGTGACTATTGAAAATGTTTCAAAGGTGTTCTTTTAGACTGGTTTTAGCTGATGTGTGAGAAAGTTATTGATTTCTGTACATAAATCTTACATACTGATACTTGGCTAAACTTGCAAGCAGTAAGTAAATATTCTAATAAAATTAAATTCTAGTTATTTTTCGGTTGTTTCTCTTTTGGATTTTCTATATAGACAATTACATCATTTATGAAAGTGATAATATTTTATCACTTCTAACATCTACTTCCAGCCTCCCAATCTCATTGGGTTGCATGGGAACTCAGGTATAATTTGAATATTATCACAGATAGTACATATACTTACTTTATTTATGAATTCAATACTGTTGCTTCCAATGTGTTAACCAAAAAATGTGAGTTCTGTGGTAGATTTCAGATAGATAACCTTCATCTAGTTACAAACATTCCCTTTTTAAAATTTATTTATCTATTGAGAGCGAGAGAGAGAACCCCCAACCGGGTTCTCATGCTACAAACCAGTTGACCTGAATCACATGGATACCCAGAATGCCCAAGGAGGACCCTGGACATAAATGCAGTTGTGTTACAACCATCTGGCCCACAGACTTTCTCTGATGTCCTTGGTTCCTAATGTTTTCATTTATTTATTTTTATTTTTTTTTTTGCCGTAGGGTATGTGTGCTTACCAGAGAGGATAGATATGGAGGCAGTAAGAGAGAGAATGAGAAATAATACCCCAGGAGGGATGGCCATGCCACAATTCTTTCTCCTCTATTTTCCTCTTAGGATTTTGGGCACACACACATGCCCAGATTGATTTTTAAGCCTCTGGGTTGGGGACTTGAACCACTGTGGACCATATGGGAAACCAGTACCTTAGCCACCGCACTACCTTCTTGCTCCATTTAATTTTTAAAGTATATACAAATGAGAAGATTTTTAAAGAAAATAAATATAACCAGTGAAAAAAGAACTTTTTTCATATCCCTGACTCTGACTCCCAGTCTCTAGTTTCTCGCCCAGGGCCAGCCCTATTGACATTTTTTGTGTACATCCCTTTTCAGAAAATCTATGCTTAGATTTTTCTCAGTCTCTCTGGTTTTTACACACACACACACACACACACACACACACACACCATTCATTATTACTTTCTGCCACTTTCACACCACCTACACTTACGAATGTCTTTGAAGTCATTCCATATCATTACTTAGATATTTACTTTTATGAGTGTGTGTGTGTGTGTGTGTGTGTGTGTGTGTGTGTGTGATTATCAGAGGGCACATGCACTCACCAGGGAGGGACAGAGAGACAAAGAAAGAGAAGGAGAAAGCATCCCCCAATGGGCCATAGTCACACCACAATCCTTTTCCCTCCATTTCTTCATCTTTGAGATGTTTGGGGCATGCATGCCTACGTGCCCAGTGTGTTTCCAAACCAACAGGGTCAGGATTTAAATTGCAGTCAGCCATGTGGGATCTGGTTTTCTTAACCACTCAGCTGTAGAGCTGGTCCTCCACTTTTTTTTTTTTTTTTTAAAGAGAATTTAGCTATAGAATGCATGCACTCACTGGAGAGACAGAGAGAGAGAGGGGGACATAAAGGGAGAAATCACCTCCCAAGGGGATGGCCATGTTGCAATCCCTTCTCCATTTTTCTCTCAGGGTTTTGGACATGCATGCATAGACCTAGTGTGAGTTTTAAGCCATGGGGTCCAGGACTCAAACTGCAATCGACTACATGGGAGTCTAGCAACATTGCCATTACACTGTCTGCTGGTCCCCCTCCACTTTTTTTTTTTTTTAAATGTAGCTTCCTGGCATTTCATTACATGAATGTGCCTATAATCTTTCGATGGCTATTTAGGTAGTATCCAGTCTTTTCCTACCATAAACAACCTGGAACAAACATCTTTTTAGATAAATATTTGCACAATCTATGTGCATTTATTTTTGAAACTTACAAAAATAAATTTGTCCAATTATAGAGTATTAGATCTAAAATTGTCAAATTCTCTAAAAGAGGTTACACTCCAGCTTATAGTCTCACAAGACATAAGATAGGAGAGGATTTATTTTCTCATATTTTTGCATTGTCAAATTTTGTGATATTTGACAACTGGTTAACCTAAAAATGGTATTGCATTTTGATTTGATTTGTGTCTTTCAGTGTGTGTGTGTGTGTGTGTGTGTGTGTGTGTGTGTGTGTAGCTATTGAAAGGCCATTTATATGTCTTTTGCTGTGAACTGTTATCTGTATCTTTTACAAATTTTCTATTTATCCTTTAATCACTTATATACTTTATGTATTAAGTTATTAAGCCTTTTATATCAAATATGCTCCAAGTATTTAATCTAGCTTGTTGAATTTTATTCTCCTTTTTTACTATATGTATATATATATATATATACACACACACACACACACACAGTTAATTCTTTTGAAGGCTGACACACACACACACACACACACACACAGTTAATTCTTTTGAAGGCTGACACACACGCATTCCTACACACACACACCTACACACACATCCCCCCCCCACACACACGACATACCTACACACACACATACCTACACACACATACATACACACACCTACACACACATACCCCCCACACACATGACATACCTGCAAACACACATACATACACACACCTACACACACATACCCACACACACACATATGACATACCTACACACACATACATACACACACCTACACACACATACCCCCCCCACACACACGACATACCTACACACACACACAGCCACACACATACATACATACACACACCTGCACTCACACCCCTATATACATACACACACACACAAACCTACACTCACACCCCTACACACATACACACATATATACACATACACCCCTACACACATACACACACAACTACACACATGCATACATATCATGGTGCTCCCATAATTGTTCATTTAAGATAGCTTGTAATTGTCTTCTTTTTTAATCCAAAAATTATTAAGAAGTATATCCTTAGATGTATTCTTTTGTTTTTATTTTTATTAATTAATTTCTGCATTGTAGTCAGTGACTAAGGCCTCTATGATTCTGATTATCTAAAATTTAAAAGTATTTTTTGTGATGCAAATCATGGTCAATTTCCATGACTCTTCTACATGTATTTGAAAAGGATATGCAATCTCCCTTTTAAATATCTTTCTTTCATTTTAGAAATAATTATAGGCTCATGCAAAGTTGTAAAAAGAAACGATGCAGAGAAGTTCTGCCGAGCCTTCACTCAGTATACTCCAGTGATAACATCTGGTGTACTGTAAGACAATAGTGTATTCGTTTCCTATTGCTGTGGAACAAATTACTACAAACTTTGTAGTGGTTCATGGCACCATATATTAGCTTGCATTTCTCTCAGTTAGAAGTCTGGGCACAGGTGAGTAGGTCCTTTGCACAGAATTGCACAGGTTACAATCAAAGTATCAAGCATGCTGCATGCTCACCTGAGGCCCAGGGTCCTCTGACAAGCCTACATAGTGTGGCAGAATTTATTTTCTTGTGTTTTGAGTCCTGAGCCCAGTACCTTGAGAAACACACTGGGCACATGTGTGAGTACCCAAAATCCTGAAAGGAGAAAGAGACAGAGAAATGATTGTGGCGTGACCATTCCCCACGGGAGTTGCTTCCTCACTTTCTCTCTCACTCTCCTCACACTCTCTCTTGCTGTCTCTCTCCAACGAGCACACGCATTTCTAACAAATTAAAAACAAAACAGACAACAATAACAAAAAGAATGAGAGTCAATATGGGTTACCTTAGAACCCGGTGTCATGTATAGCACAACCAGGAAATTGACATTGGTTTAATCCACAGACCTTATTCACGTTTTGCCAGTTTTACATGCATGCATATGTATGTGAGTGTATGTGTGTGTGTGTGTGTGAGTGTGTATTTTGTCAGCTACGAAATTATATTGGATTGTACCTAGCTTGTTAATGAGCTAATCAAGTCTGACATTTACATAATATGACACTTGAGAATTAGGTAGGGCATTTCATTTTCAGAATCTTTGTCTTTAGGTGAATACTGAAATATCTGGATCTATCTGCTTTAACTCTCAAGCATTCTTTTTTATTTTCCATCTACTTGTCTGTTTGATTTGATTTATGGGAGAACCCCTAAGCTTCATCGTCCAGTTTACTAAGTGGCTCTTCAACTATCCATTCTACTACTTAGCCAATCTATTGAGATTTTCCTATAACCAAACTACATGCTAATTTCCAAGATCTCTGTTTGGCTTTTATTTATGGATGCAATGCTTAATTCTGCCTGATAATAATTTTTCTTATTTTAATAACGTTATTTTCTTCTGTTTGCTTTGCTTCCTTAGGTTCTGTTAATGTCTGTTTGCCTTTCTTGCATGGTGCAAACATTTTGAGGATCTTGATTTTTAAGGATCCTTGATAGTTCATCTGTGAGGAGTGTATATATTCCCACACTGTCAGCATGGAGGTGGATAAAAGGAAGAACTGCCCGGGCATGGCCACTAGCTCCTGTTTTGGGAAGGAGCTACCAGTTTGTCTATTGCCATCTTCCTGGAACATTGCTCTGTGACCCCCCCACCCCGACCCCTTGACCCAAGTAATTACTTTTGCATCCACTTTGGCACGAGCATGGTTTAAGTTCACTGTTTGGCATAGAGACTGTGATAGGAATCAATCTTGGCAGAAAGTCTCTATAATTGACCCCATCAAATGCCCTGGACCCTGCCACCTTCCAGTTTCACTGCCTGCATGCCAGCATTCCTGGCCCAGTTAACACATTGATCAAGTAGACTTGACTTATACACAACTGGATCCTGTCTGTCTTTCATCATAGAAATTCAGGATCACTTGTCACAGATATAGGGTAATCTGAAAGTAAATTCAGTGGAGAACAAACAAACAAATGAAGGTGATTAAATCCCAGGCTGACATCACTGCTTCTACAAACCTCTTGTCTGAGGCCTGCTCTCTGTTTGTTGAAATGGGAGATTAGTAAGTATTAGAAATATCTATTAGACATATTATCACCAAACCCAAGGTTTTCTCCTTACCCTAAACAGAATACTTAGAATAGAATAGAAACATAAATAACTTTCATAATGGGTAAGTCAATGTTATTTCACACTTCATCTAAAAGCCACCTAAACATTGTCTCCCACACTTGAGGAGATACAGTTATGTTCACTAAAATTTAAAATTTAAAAATGACACACTAAAATAGACTAGCAAATAATACCACTTACACCTTACGTGAGTAATCATGGTAGTTTTTATTTTCGTTTTATTTTATTTTTTGAGGGGAACTTTCTAGGTGCTCACTCTTGCTGTGTGCTTGTTGTGGGTTGTTTAAATAGAATGTCTACACAGGCAGATTGGGTAACATTCTTTGATGTCCTGACCCTATATCTTGGGTCCCATGCTTGATGCAGACACTCACAGGAATTGGATATTTGAAGCTTCTTTTGGAATTACATTGAACATGACTCTCAAGTCTGTCTTCAACGCACGTGGTTATATGGTTTTAACTCTGCCTGTGATGAGTTCTCTGAAAAATATTTGTCTCCATTTCTGATATGCAACAGTTTGGTTTACCAGTTGCATTTTCCCCCCATTTCCTTTTCCTTTCCCAAGGAGGGTCATGAAATTCTCACATGTGGAGCCTTCTGCCTCTTCTCTCCTTTCTCTGACCAATCTCCAGCAAGAGTGACATATAATTAAATTTTCTGAAGGAGACATTTTTTTTTTTAATGGCCAAATGGTAGATGGAACCAAATCTGCAATTATGTGAAGAAGGGACACAAGAATTAATGCATGGGGGGGGTATGTTTACCTTCTATAGAAACAGATTAGATACTTCCCCGTAGAGCCAGTTTTTCTTCTCTCAGTTATTTTCTACATAGAAAATAACACCTCACAATTCTCAATTCGGTGAACTAAGAATAAAATGACACTGTACCATAATGGGGGAGCCTCCAGTGTAGACGGCCCAAATATAATATGCTGCTTTACAACAATAAAAGCCTTTAATAACTTGGCACAGTGTTGGTGACTTGCTGTTGTTGGTTCCTTGTTTTAGTGTGTTGTTCTGAACAGAGGAATAAACAGCCAGTTAAAGAAACCCCAACTTACTAATCAATTACATGCAGGTGTTTATAGATTTCTTCTGTTTTAATGAATTAGACTTGGACTTGTGCCATCCTAGAAATTACTTAGACTCTAAAAGAACAGCCGATGGCTTAGTAAGCGTATTGGACTGACGCTGCCTAGTAGGCATTCCAGAGCAATACCAGGAAGCTTAAGCTACTTACCAAGCATATAGTAGGCGTCACTATTGAGTCTCTCACTTATGTTCACAAAAGTCAGACCTAAAGGCCCCTAGACAAGACAGTTAAATGAGCAGAGTGATAATTTCCTGTATGAAACCAACTCTTAAATGCTACCTATTTTTAGACAGAGACGCACATTCTCATGTGGTGTATTTTGACGTTTATGACTATGATGTGACGATTGCCTTGTACCTTCTTTTTGTTTTAAGCATCTTGTGACTGTCTTTTGCCAAAGTCATTTCTGCTCTAACGACCGTGCACCAGGATCAGATGTTTTTCCTCTTATGGCTGAAATCCCCACCATTCTAGGAACAACTTCTGTGTTGTGGTTTATCAGTCAACTGCAACTCCAGTCTAAGTTCATGATCTATCACTGCCCACAGGTCAGAAGGAAAGGGCCAGGAGGAAAGGGCATTTCACCCAATTCATTTTTCCCCCCACCTACAGAAGAATTGATCCCATACTGAGGAATCCTGAGGAGCAAGATGGGTGTGGGGGAGGAAGGATTTGAAATGATAAGCTAAGTATAGGCTTCCATATGTTCTGCTGAGTTCAGGGAAGAATCCATGCTGTTATGGTAACACCCTAAGAACCATAAAACAAGCAAAAAAAATCAATTTTCTCTGGGCTCCTGGCTGCCACCCCTAATCTTTGGTCCTAGCATGGTGTCAGGAGCCAGTGATTTAGGAAAACCCCCTCCAGCTTTGCCTTAGGCTTCAAGCCCTGCTTTTCTCTGAATGAAACAAGGCTGGCATTTCCCAACCACACGGGGTAATCATTGTGCAAATCCTGGTGCCATGTTGAGGATGAGAAAGTGCTGTCTAAGTGTGAAATGCTGTACGTTGCCTTTATAAGTACCCATCAAAACAAATGAAAACATCTCATTTAACACACGGTATTTAAGTAAACATGTTACAGATATACCAAAATAATCCCCCCAAATATTAAACAACAAATCAACCCCCTGTCATAGCCTGACTCACTGAATAAGTGGAATGAATAAAATTGTAACTCACGTGTTTGACTATGGCTCTATGAAATTATTGAATTTGTTAGGCGTAGCGTGTGATTTCTGCAGAGTAACCAAAATAACCTTGAATGCTTTATTCTCTCCTCCAATAGGAATTAAGCAGATATCCAAGTTCCCAAATTGAGTAATACACACACAATAACACAAATTGTGTTTTCTTCCCTTCTTCCCCTCCTCCTGCTCGAATAGAAGCTAGCAGCAGAATGTCAGAACCAAGGACAATCTCTTCTTCTTCACTTGGGCACCAGTCTGGCAGCATTTTTCTGCAGAGGACATTTCTAGTTCCCAACAGAGAACAACTCTGCTCATTACCCACGATCCATGTAGTTACTTACATGATTCTAAGTGACCATTGCAGAATACCGTCTTCTCTGCTGAAAGGCATGCTATTATTCCAGAAGAAAAAATGTTGAAATCACCTCATATATCCTTCTGCTGTTTATACCTTTGTCTGAGATTCCATGACTGGTATCAGCCTTGAGTCGCTTACCCAACACATTAAGAAATGTCACTGTGGTTCCAAAAGGGAATTGAAAAGTCTCAACATGATCCCATAGGAGAAATCTCTCTTTTTTTTTTTCCTTGAAAGACTATTTTGTATTGAAAACAATGCCTAATATCTGTCACATCCTGGATCTTTAAGGGAAGGAGTCAGCTTACTGAGACATAGGATCTGAGTGTTCAGTATCTCTAATCGAGCAGGACATTTTAGGTTAGAGCAGCCACTAACTAAACTGGTTAGTGTTAACTGAATCTGGGCTGATTTTTAGCTCATTCTCCAATAAGGCTTTGTCTCCACTGCACTTCCACCACACACTGTCCCTTCCAATTGCCCCGTCCCTTTGATCCAGGTTGTATAGCTGCACTACTTTGTGTACTAATATGAATACATGTCAGACGTGCCCACCTTATGTGTTTACTCATCACTCAGTGAACAGTTTTTTAAAGCCTTTTATCTGTGTTTAGCGTTGCTCTGGTCTTTGCGGTCCCCACCCTTACTTATAGTGCATCCAGTTCAGACTATTTGTCAGGCAGAGAAATGCAGCAGCCACCTTGCAATAGCCAAGATTTTGTGGGGCTAGACAGTGGCACAGTGGTAAAATGCAACTCTCTGCAAGGCTGACACGTAAGAGAGAGTTGCCGATTCAAGTCTGTAGACCTCCCTGAGTACTCCCGGCACGTGTGTGCGCATGATCTGGGGCTGTCTGAGTTTTGGGGTGGATTCTGGTGTCAAGGACCTGTTGGGGGTACACAACAGGTGTTGTGTACAACACCTTCTCCCACACTCATGGAAGAGATAATACATAAATTTTTTTAAAAAGTAGCCAAGATTTTGAGCTAATGATCAAGTAAATGTGGACCAGGCGATGATACTTCAGGAGATTATAATTATAATTTTATTAAGTTGTGATCAGAGGGAGAAGATAAATGTCATAGAAATATGTTTAATATTGGATACATATTTTATTACAGAATGATTATGAATTTGTGTTTCTTACGTACATTAAAATTTGGATATGTATAAGGGTACAAGCTGAGTCTAATTTTTTATCTGCTGGATAAGGAATTGATTTTAATTCTTTCTCTGCTAATTAAAGGAAAATTAGATAAAATAAACTATTTACTAAAGCTCTAAATACGTTTTGATTACTTATGGATATGAGCAGTTATTTTGGCTTCATTTATTTATTTACTGAAAGCCTAATGATAGGTAAAATGAAGAATTAATAGTGTAATAGGGAGGGATAATGGGCTTACTCAGCAGCCAGAAGGAAGACGGCTGTTTTCCCACCTTCCAGCTGGGAACATGAAATCACAGTATTTTCTCTTGGCTGATGGTAGGACCCTTGCAGCCCTTGCTTGGAGAGAGAGACCTATATAGTGTCATAGTAGAGGGATCAACTTTGGGGAGAGGGTGAATGTGGTTGTGGATAGGTTCAGTTCAAGGCTTCTGGGGGGAGGCAGAGGGAACTCTACTGCACAGTTGGGTATGATGGCTTAGCTCAGGAATCGCTCAGGATGAGGGCGAGCCAAGTATGAGAGCGATGCCGTGATAGTTTCAAGAAGAAACAGAGTCAGCTCAATTTGTTTCAACTATCATTTGTAGTTCTGGAGGTCAGAGATCCACAGTGGTTTCGCTGGACAAAAATCAATGCATTTGCAGAGTTGCTGTACTTTCTGGAGATTCTAGGGGCATTTTCTGGAGATTTCAGGGTCCTTTGTTGCTTAATAGCTGAATACGTGGGGGCCAGCAGGTGGCATGGTGGTTAAGGGCGCTGGACTGGTCTACTGCGGTTTGAGAACCCGGACCTGGCGGCTTGCTTTCTCACTTTTTCCTCTCTCTCACTCTGTCCTTCTCTAGTCAAATAAAACGAATAAATAAATAAAGATAAATTAAATAATTATTAAAATTAAAATACTGAATATTTGATTCTGGGTGATCTGTAAGAATAGAGGTTTAGGGCTAGGACCTTAACCATGGTGGTTAAGGCATTGGATTCCCCCCATGGCTGACTGCAGTTTGAGTTCCAGACCCAGTGGCTTGAAAATCATGCTGGACACATGTGCATGTATGCTCAAAAATCCCAGGAGGAGGGAACCAGCAGTTAGCATAATGGCTATGTCGCTGGACTCCCACGTAGTCGACCGCAGTTCGTGTCCCAGACCCGGTGGCTTAAAACTCACGCTGGGCGCGTGTGCGTGCGTGCCCAAGATCCTGAGAGGAGAATGGAGGAGAAGGGATTGTGGTGTGACCATCCCCCCGGGGGGTGATTTCTCGCTTTCTGTCTCTATGTCTCTCTCTGTCTGTCTGGCGAGCGCACGCGCGAGGGAGTGCAGAGCATCACATGGAAAGACAGAGCAAGAGTCAGCTTATGTCTGTGTTCCTATCTCTGCTCTGGTCTCCCTCTCCTTATAAAGCTAGCAGGAGTCAATCACAGGGGCACTATACTTATCATCCCTCAAAGACTCCATCTCTCAATCCCATAGCTAGATTAAGTTTCCTCTTAATGCCAGCATGATAAAAATCAAATCTCAACATACAAAGTCTTGGAGGACACATTTCAACCTTAGTGGGGGGGCGGGTATCCATTTCTTTTCTCTTTCTGGTTTCTGGAGACTGCTTTGGTGGTTCCTTCTTCCCACAGTGTTGAGCCCCTGACATTTCCATCTCTCTGGTTCTGTCTTCAGATCCCCACCCTAACCTCTCTTAGGATTTTTTTTTAAATGTAAAAAAATGATACTTATATATTAAAGCAAGAAGAGACTAAAAATGGACAGATTGAGGTTGCTAGAGGAGGGAGGATGGAGGAAGGAGGTAAGTGCAGCTTTGGGGGAGTGTTTGTACCTGAAAGGGAGATCCACCTCTGGGAGGGGGGTCACATGGCAGGAGTGAACTGAAAGAGATGTAAGAAGCTTTAGAGAGAGAGGGAGGTGGTGGAGGACTCCCTCTGGAATGACTACTTTGTTTTAGGGAGGTGGAAGCTGGGTCTTCAGCTGAGAAAGAGGCAGCTGAGATGAGATCCAGGGAAAGATGAGCAGGTGTGGAATCACTATTTCGGAGAAGGCCACACCCGGACAAAGTTGAATGAGGCCCAGTAGCTACAAGTGTCTACTCTTACAGGTTTATGATCCCACTTTG